AGTTTGACATATTTTTTTATATCGTTTTAAAGCTTAAGATTTTAGCTTTCTAAAGAGCTATTGAACGTTAAAATTGGACGTCTGTATGTTGCACAAATAACGATGCAACTCACCCCTTTATTTATGTCGATCATCCCCGATTCCAAACTTTTGTCCAGTACAATGGTACATTAGAAAGCTAACGCTAAATCACAAGCTTTCAAAAAAAATCAATGTCAAGCCCAGCCAATCTCGTAAAAATTGCGAGCGTGTTGAGTTTATCAGCGCTTGGAAGTGTGGTTTATCCGAAAAACAAATTGGAGATACTCTGGGACGACTGTTCATAATGTTTTTAATAAATACAAAGACTTTGGCCACACTACAGTTGCTCCCCGAAGCGGCAGACCACCAAATTTAGATAATAGCGCCACTCGAAGATTAATCAATATTGTTAAAGAAGATTGACAACAAGCAGTTGCTGAAATTACCGAAAAATTCGATACTGCTATGACTGTAACTGTCAGTGAAAGAACTATACGACATGCTCTTCATGAGCCTGGGTTTTTTGGTCGGCTGGGATGAGAAAACCTTATATATCTGAGGAAAACCGTTAAAAACGATTAAAATGGTGTTTAGAAAGAAAAGATTGGATTAATGAATGGGAATTAGTAGTTTGGAGTGACGAATCAAGATACTTAATATTCCGGAATGATTCTCGGCAATGGGTTAGGCGCCAATCACATGAAAAATATGTCTTCTTCTCATTATGAAATCAAATGGTAAGGGAGTAATGATATGGGGATGTTTTACTCAAAATGCACTTGGACCTTTAATCGAAGTTGAGGGTGGAATTACTGTATAAAGTATATAGAAATAATGGAACAGAATCTTCTACATTTCTAAATGATTTGCCAGGTAGTTCTGTTCATCCTTTTCAAGATGTCAATGCTCCAGTTCACAGATTGGGTCCAGCTAGTCAGTCAATGGAAAGAGGAAAATTTAATCATTTCACTTCCATGACCTTCCCAAAGCTCTGATCTAAATTCAATTGAACTTTTGTGGGATGTTTTGGAAAGATGAATTCGTAAACGTCCAAATCACCCCAAAAGTTTGGAAGAATTTGATGGATGCACTTGTGAAGGAATGGGAAGCAATTGAACCGGAAATTTTAAGAAATTTGGTTGAAAGTATGCCGAGAAGAGTGCAAGCTGTAACTGATGAAAATGGGAATCCAACCCGATATTAAATTATATGTATAAAAACCCTACTTTAACTGAATAAAATAATATTTTTTTATTGTAATTTATTAATAAAGAAGTCGAGTACATGTATCATGCAATAATGTCCATATCACAAGACTGCAACGATTAATGTTAACAGGAATGTTATGAAAGAAAGTTGCGGTAACGTACGAGAATGTTATATGAATAAAAATTGATTGAAAAATGAGCTATGGAATCATAAAGATATTAAAGAAATTAAACCTTGGTTTACTTCATTTAGCTTGATTGAAAGATTTTTCTTACTTATTAATTCTCAATTTTGTAATCCCTATTATTTATATTTTTGATTAAAGAGAAGGTTAGGTTATTCCTGTCTTGGTTCCTTTATCTCAGGACTTTAGCTGTGAGTAAATATAAAATTATAAAGAATCTCTTCTAAATGAAGATTGACATTTATTTTAAAGTTATCTTAATTTATTAAAGTTCTACTCGACAAGCCTAAGACATGCTTGCCTTTTTTCTTTCTTGCTGTTGTATTTTTCTTTATCTTTAACTTTTCTTCGAAAAAAGTGTGATGAAATTATATTACAAGAAGCTGTACAATAAGCACGATAAAAAAAGCTGAGACAGTAAGCCATGATATAAACAATTCGAAACTTTCTATTATCGGAATTCTTTATTTTTTTGAATTTATCTTTTTTAATTAATCGGTGGCTGAAAAGGTAAATCCAGAGATCTTTAGAATTAATCTCTTATAATCCTCATTTCTTGATTTCAGATTATGGCATTTCAAGTATTATTTAGAGGGTGCACAAAATGAAACGATCCAGTGTAAATTGACTATCTATAATTTTATTGCGTCATTGTCAATTAATATGAAATATATCAAAGAGAAATTCTTTTGTCGCATGCCAACTTGATTTTCTACGGATTACAAACAATTGCATTTTATGAATATTATGCACAATCATACACCTGTTGTTAATTCTGGTATGGATAGCATCATTGTGCTTATTTTCGTCGAAACCAATTTACTCTTGAAGATAATTTTATTAGTTGGAACGTTTTTTCTTATAAAACAAGCAGTAAGTTCTTTCTCAATTTCATCTATATTACATTCTTGTATTAATTTTTAGTTTAATTAGATTTTCGAAGAATCAAAGATTTTTTTTGTTTTATTTTTTCTATTTATTCTTTTTTTGGAGGACCTTGGGAACTTTGTACTTTTGTTGCTGGTACATTGCTAACTGTGGCTGGAATTTTGGTAGCTTTAGGCATCAGATTTGGATTTAGGCTACTCTTTCGTTGGTATCATGCACTGAACTGGATGGCAGACTATAGCGAGTCTTATAGCGCTTCAGACTATAATGCCTATTTTGATAGCGCAGATCGGGTAGGCTACTATGTTCTTATTGGATCATTATTGTTTGAATGCATTCCGTCGCAGCGTTGTTCTTTAGTTATTTTGATTTAATTTAAATATTAAAAGTCTTTTTTGAATTTATAGGTTTTTTATTTTTCTTCACAGGACTTTTGACATTTATCAATACGATTAAATATCACAGAAAAAATTTTGGGAAAGATTTAAAGTATTTCCTTGAGTATATATGCATTAATTTATATTAAAAGTTATTAATTAACGTTAATTTTAATTATTTTTTTAGCTGTTTATTATGAACTTCCATGCGAGCATAAACATGAGATTGTCCGGACTCAGAAAGTGATCTTTCTTAAATTATGTGATCCGAATTCATTACACATACTTTATTACGATTAGTGTATTTGTCTAATATCGATATGATTGAAATGTATTTATTACGTTTTCGACTGTACCGTCAACACTGGGTATACTAGCTTAGTCATAATAAATTTAAAGTAATATTGATTCTATTGGTGAAGAATAAGTTAAAACACGAAAATTGCTTAATCAATCTCGCGCATCCCCAATAATGAAAATTTTTACAAAAATGCTTACTTTGTGACCCAAGGTTTTGATTATCATAAGAAATTTCATACAACGTTCTTATAGTACGTTTCTTTGGATCCATAGAAATGATTATATTTTTCTTACAAAACTCACATCTTATATCAATGAATAAGTTACTTTGTTTTAGCACCGCGAAATCACGAATTGTAATTACGATCTGTAATTAGATAATTATGTAACAACCAAATTGTATATAAAGAACAACTTGAGAAGACAGTGTATAATTTGAAGAAAAATAACTAAATCAAAATCATTTTTAACTTTTACCTAACAGCGCTTTGGCTTTTATTTCTTTGTGTCATAATAGCTTTATTTCTTTGTGCTTAAAAAATCGAGGCCATCATTGATTTGAGACTTAAATTATTGATTTGGCGTAAACCTAGTTATGTTGTTACTATATTTTGTTAGTAATCAATTGTTATTTTTGGAATTTACCTTTACCTTTGATTACCTCCTTTGTTATATGCTCAATTCTTTAGTCAAACTAACCTTTGAATTGAGTGTAACAGTAGACCTATTATGCACAGAAAATATAGGAACACTACAAATCCCGTACAAGCTTTGTAATGTTCACCGCATATTCTCTCTTGCATTATAATGTTACAACGTCATAAATGTCTTTTTATAGGATAAATATTACAGTAACTAGCAAAATATCAAACCACCTCTTTCCGTAAATTATGTGTAATGTACCAAATAATGCGAATACTGATCATCTACTGTAGAGCGCTTACTACAGTACCCCCGGTCTTATTCAAGAAATCCCAGACTGACTTGAATAATATCCGAGGGGATACTATGTGAGGGGGGAGGGTACTATAAAAAGGGGGTACTTTGTAAGGGGTGATACTATATAAGCTAAATATATAGATTGATCACATCACAACAATTTATCTGCCTTTTTTATTTGATTAATTTTTATTTTGTTGGTCAAAATTTATGGTGAATTACATACAATACATGTACATGTGAATTAAATTTTATTATGTGTCTCATACAAGCCACGAATGAATGACATGAACGTAATTAGAAAATTTAATTAAGAACTGATTTCGTTGAGAAGAAAGTAGTGTTGAAATCATTATACAGTTCAAAGTAAATTGTGTCAGAGTTTATAAATGAGGTAAAAAATTGAACATTTTCTAATTCAAAGTTTTTTGTTTTCTGATACAATCAAATATTCAAAATAGATTCGAACGGGACTTAAATGTTATGATTACGGCTGACTAAAAATCCATTTACAAATGATTACATGATATTAAGAATGGCGAGAAAATGCCAAACTTTCAAAAAAAAAAATTTATTCATTCAAACATGAGTTTTATCCTTATATCAATATTTTTAATATCTTTTATTATTTCTAACTCAATAAAAAATTAGATTTCAAAGATTAAAAAAAGGGAGAAGAATGTACAAATATAAAGTGAACTCAAAAATTCTCATGATTGTAGTATATTATATGCAATTCCAACTACAAAAAATTAACTTGGAATCAAAATTAAGTTATTAAGTTCTTTCAAAAGAATGGAATGAATTAACCTGATTGAAATGACTAAATATATATTAAAAGCATATATCGTATTGATATACCACATAGATGTAATTAGCACACCATATCGGAAGTTTTGACATTATCCCCCAAGATCACTACATCTCCTCGAACTTCTCGACTTATGCTTTCGATACTACGACCCTTAGTCTACAAATAAAAAAAATTAGAAAAATTCACTTTTTTTAGAAATTCAAGCTATCTCCCCTTACCTCTGGAAACATATATGTCAATACAAAGCCAACACTCGCAATTATTGCGAAAACAAGAAAAGTCCAACTTTGCAATATTTCTCTGAGCACCGGAAACACCAAACCAACCACAAAGTTACAAAACCAGTTTAGACCCATCGCAGCAGATGCGGTTGCACTGACACTATGTGTTGGTGCCAATTCCGGGATAATTAAAAATGGAATAGGTCCAAGTCCGATAGAAAACGAAGCGACGAAAAATATAACTGTTTTATTATATGATGAGCATTAATTTCAGTTATTTGTTGTCCATGATGAATTGCACAACGTACTGATATCAATAAAAAAACTTGCCGGCGACAATTATGAGAATATTTATTTTGAACAAAAATCCAACGACAATGAGAATCGAACTAACAGATATTCCGATTTCGGATGAAAGTAAAAGTGGTCTTCGTCCTTTCTTATCAATCAGTCCGAGAGAAGAAATAGTGGCGATTAAAGTTATAACCCCTATTCCGATAGTAGCATATTTTGCCTTTTCATGAAAGGCGTTGGAAAAGATCTCATTACTTAAGAAAAAAGAATAAAAAGGAATTATGTAATTAACTCCCTATTGACCTCTCAGAATCATTTCGAAACAATCGCAATGACAGAATCTTTTACCTGTAAACAAGGATTCCATTAATTCCGCACAACTGTTGCAAAGCCGAGAGACCCAGGCAAATTAATGCCATCTTTCTACTCGGTCGTTCTTTGAACAATTCAACAAATGTCAAGGATTTGCGTATTGTGATCTTATTTTCTCGTCCTTCCGATGCTTCTTCCACTTCAATTTCTCTTTGTCCTTCGACAATCTCATCGAATTCTTTTTCTATACTGAATCCGTGTCGAAGTCTTCTTAATGCTTCTTTGGCTTCGTCAATTTTATGCTGTGAAACTAGATATCGTGGTGATTCAACGCAAAACGGAAGCAACAATATTTGTGCTAATGCAGGCGCGGCGGTAAGTGCAAGTAATATTCGCCAGCCCGGAATAAATTCCAATGAAAATCCTATTGCTTGAGTAACGACTATTCCAATAATGATGAATATTTGATTGATTGTTCCAAAAAATCCGCGCGCATTTATAGTTGCGATTTCCCCCAAGTAAGTCTAATACAATATACATTTTCAATATGATAATAACGATAAGGGTTTTACCGAAGAGATGTAACACAATACTAACGGGAACAGTCACAGTTCCGATCCCGCTTCCAATTCCGATTACTAATCGTCCAATAGCAAACATTGAAGGGTGCACAGTGATTCCTAAAATCAACGCACCTAATAGAAAATTGACATTATTAACCATCAAAGTACGGCGTCGGCCGAATTTAGTTTGCAAGTGCCCGGCAAAAAGGCCACCGATCAGACCACCAAGCGCATAGCTTCCTACCGCGAAACCCCTACATAGCGAAGAAACATACATATAATATGGAATTTTTGATTACTGATATTAATATGATAAATTAAACGTCTATACAAAATTTTGTTGTACCATAATAAATTATTCATTGGTAAACAATCTGGTAGCCAATTTTTCCCACTTTTATTTTCGCAGCCTCTTATTACGTGCTCTATTTTGTCGATAAAGGTTAAAAAAGTTTAAATTAAAATACTAATAACAAATAACCTACCGGGCACATTTGTAACGCCAGTATTCCATCCATTTTGGAACGAGGTCAGAACGGAGACAAACGCAACAAACAAACAGTATGTTGGCAGATTCGCGTTAATTGAGTCGGGTAAAGTTCTTCTATCTTGTTCTGGGGGGATACTCATTTTATTTAATGACTGTTTAATGAGAAACGTAAAATATGATTATTTAAACTAATCGGAAGTATAGTAACTATTTTAGGACATAAAGATAAAAATTTTTGATTAAAAAATTCATGATTTAGTTCATAATCTGGCGTAACAATCGGACAATTGATACATTTTCATAACAATGGCAAAAAAATTGTACGCGATTCTTCAATTTTTTCACTTTTTTTCGCTGCGATTCGATTGGTCCAATTTGGCAAACTTGACATTTGATTTGCTCATCTCCTCGTGACTTACCTTGCTTTAAGGATCCCCATATATAGTAATCAAATACACGATGTGAATTCATAAAAACTAATGATTTTATTATAACTATTATATACATTTATCAATAATTATCACTATCACTTGATGTTTCTAATATATCATCTGATACAGTATATTAAATTGTTCATTATCATTACCATCCTGATATTCACTTTCATTATTATCCTGATATTTGCTTTCATCACTCT